TCATTAGCATCAGCAGTGCTGAGAGGTAGGCAGTAAATACAGGTATATATGATAGTTGCACTATCCTGGGATCGTGTGATCACCACCGTGTGATTTTCTCAGCCAGCTCACGACAAAGAAAGACAATGGGGGAATCTAGACTCGCTTAATGACCGTGTGATTCACTTAACAAGTACAGTGATTTGTGTAACAACTGTGGCCAAAAAAGGCTGTCAAATTGGGTACAACTAATAACTGCATCCTTGCTGTTAGCAATGTATGTTCTGATCCCAATTGCGGTCGTAAACTGAGGACTATCTCCATGAGACTTTCTATTCTCTAATAAGGGAAAATATTTGTAGCTCACTGAACGCGGTGGCTCAGTGGCTAAGACAGTCAGCTTGTCGATCAGAAAGGTTGGCAGTTTGGTGGTTCGAATCCCTAGCGCTGCGTAACAGAGAGAGCTCCCCAGCTTCTGCCAACCTAGCAGTTCGAAAGCATGTAAAAAAATGCAAGTAGAAAAATAGGGACCCCTTTGTGGGGAAGGTAACAGCATTCCATACACCTTCGGGCGTTTAGTCATGCCGGCCACATGACCACGGAGACGTCTTTGGACAGCGCTGGCTCTTTGGCTTTGCAATGGAGATGAGCACCGCCCCCTAGAGCTGGAAATGACTAGCACGTATGTGTGAGGGGAACCTTTACCTTTACCTATTTGTAGCTCAGGGTTGAAATGGCAATGTTTATCTGCAGCTCAAGGTGAAAGGTTCTCCTGATCCAAATGGCCATTTGAATTACTAAAATCTAAGATCGCCCCCACTCACACAGACAGGCAAGACACCAGAATATAATAAACTGACAGTAAACAGCTTACTACCGGTATCACTGATGATGTGACCTAGTTAGGGTTATGAAACGTCTGCAAGAAAACAAGCAAGCTCAGAGAGCACCAAGGACCCCTCATTTCTATTCTCTTTCTATTCTGAAGATTGGTCAGATTAGGAGGCTTGCAAAATCTCTTCCATGGAACTAGCTGGAATCTAAGCCTGTTCTCCAACATGAAAGAACAAAGGATGGAATAGTCTTGTGAAGAACATAGCAGTGGCTAGAGGTGATAATAGTACTACATTCAGCAAGAGGGCCTGTTAACCTAACATAGGTTAGGATAGGAATTAACCAGGCCGAAATGTAGCAAACTGATAACATGCTAATCCAGGGGCGGGCTGATGTGGGTTCGCAGGGGTTCGGGAGAGCCCCTAGCTAAGATTCTGTGCAGTTCAGGGAACCCCCAAATCCCACTCCTGACTGGCCCCACCCACCCCGCCCCTCCCCTCCCAGGAGTCCCCACCTGGCCAGTTTTGGATGCAGGTAAGCACAAGGCCTGCATGGAGGCTCAGGGAGGGAGAAGAACGGGCCTCCTGAAAGGTCGGGAAGGCCGGAAAAGTGGCTTCCAGAGAGCTTCCGGAGGGAGGCCATTTTCCCTCTCCCCAAGACTCAAGGAAAGCCTCCGGAGCCTGGGGAGGGGAAAAACACCTCCCCGGCTGTGGTGCAGGAGGCCAACTAGGCCACGCCCACCCAGCAACCGGGCAGAGAACCTGTTGATAAAAAAAATGTGAAGCCCACCCCCTGTGCTAATTTGAAAAATGTGATCTGGGTTAGGTAGTGACAGTATCAACATATTAACTGAATTCACGTTAATAATGAAGGAGAATATTTGTAGCTCACGGCTGAAATGAGGGACCCTTGGCGTTCTTTGTGCTTGCTTATTTTCTTGCAGATGTTTCATGACCCAAACTACCGTAGGGAACACCATCAGAGCTGGTAAGGAATGGGGTTTGCTGTCAGTTTATATTCTGGTGGCTTGTCTCTCTGTGTCGGCAGGCGGCCATCTTAGGGATTCTTTGGTTGGGCTGTTTACCGATGGCTCTTTGGCAGTTTCTTGATCGAGGGTATTGCTTACTTGATTGTTGGCCTGCTAGTTAAGTCATGTTGGAAGGCAAAAAAAAGAGTCCAGTTAACCATTAACCAGTTATTAACTGTTCTGTGCTCCCTTAAGCGGATGTCCAATCTCTCTCCTGTAACATTGCCATTGTTTCCCCATGCTCTGGGGGCTGCAGAGCAGGCTAATCCTTATTATCCTGCCACTCTGAGAAAAGAAACAAAAAGGATATTGTTTCCCCAGAGCTACCTCCTTGAGCAGACACAGTGACCTCTCCAGCTGTTCTGAAATTAGTGAAGGGTGCTAACTATGGAGAGCTAAACACAAGGGACCAAAGACTGACGAGACAGGTCAGATTTATGTAGATCCTGTTAGAGGCTGCAACCATGATTGTCCTGGACCATTTCAATGTGTTGAGCATTCCAGAATGGAAGCCTCTAAAATAAACAGAAATTATTCTCCAAAGGCAAGAAAGCTCCAAGAATAAAAGACTGTTTGTGTAAAATACCCAGATATGTTTTAAAAAAAAATTAAAAATACCCAGGAAATTTGAAGCACATTTTACAGTTTGCTGTCCTCTGCAGTTCAAACCATGAAATGTTTGTCTTTCCTTGCAAGGATATTGGTGAGCTACTACTGGGGGAAAATACACCTCTTATGAGACATAAGTGTTAGTTAAATTGATTTGGAGAACCCCATTTTCAATGGGGATTGTTAGGGAAATCTACATGAACACTCAAGAACTGTTCACAATCAAAACCAGTTTATTTTATTGATTACAAGTATGGAAATGTATACAATCTGAGTGTCTATGAAGATTCTCAGTCCTGCAGGTCATGGTTGTCCCAAGGGCGCTTTTTCAGGAGGCAACGGCCTTTCTTGTTTTTTTCTTTGAAGATGTTTCTCTTCCCCTCCAACTTCTTCATCTGTGGTTGGATGGTGGGGAATGGAAGCTAGTTGCAAGGAATATAAATGCTGCCAATCTCCAACATCCAGTCAGAACTGAAGAAGCTTCTTAGATGAGAAGCAAAACTTCTTCAAAGAAAAATAAAAACAAGAAAGTCTAGTTGCCTCCTGAAAAAACACCTTTGGGATATGCAATCTGAGTGAACAAGATTAGGTAAGACTGAAGAGAGGCAATATATCCAAGAAAGTCCACTAATTAGGTCTTTATATATGCAATGTATAAAGACCTAATTAGTGGACTTTCTTGGATGCTTCCTGGTATTGGAAGATACTGGCCTCAGCCAAAGATAAAAAGCAAAAGTTTCTTCATGAAAACAAAAGGTCAGTTGTACCCAGATGATCATATATAAACCATTGTGAATAATTACTACAAGAAGATACAATTGTACATCACTGTGCCTTCTTCTAAGAAATCTACCCATGGATGCAAGCAAATCAGACTCCATTGTCAGTGAGCCTCTAAACTGGAGACCACATAGGGCAGGAGATAGTCTTCTAGGGAGTTTTCCCCAAGTGATGTTTCTACATGTAATGGACTGCAAATTCCAAGAATTCTAGCCAGCCAAGACACCAGGTTGGGTGAGATTTTTGAGAGTGATATATAAACCAAAATACATCAATTGAGGAAGTCTGCCTCACATATTAATATAAAAGAGCCATCAAGGGGTCTGTCAGTCCAACAGCATACATAGAAGATATTATTTTATATAAACAGGTAGAAAACCCCATACCGGATAGCCCTGAAGATGTTACCTAGTAGGGTAATAAAATATCTGCAGGCAAAAAAACATGCTCAGAAAGCACCATGGATTCCGCATTCAAGCCTGAGCTACACATATTTTCATTCAGCTGGGGCAGGAGTTCTCTTTCTTGTCATTCTCTCTTTGTTCATAAACTTTCTTTTGTCTCTAATCCAAAGTGGGACTGAAATGCGATCCATTTACTGTAATTGTATGTTTACCAAACCCCTTTTACGTTCTCATGGTCTTCCCAGAAGTTTGCCATTGGAAAATAAAGCATAAAGACTTCCTGTTTTCTTTTCCATCTGCCAATCCCTGTAGATTCTGAGTTTGTTCAGTTAATTTCATTATATATGCAAAATGAAACTCTTCTACTCTTCCATTGTTAACATTCTCAGGAAAGGGAGGAGCAGAGAGAAAGTTGTGTGAAATCATTTGTACGATATGGACACAATGGACTATAAGCCAATGACCTAAAGCAAGTTTTCCCAGCCATCTTTCTACTCCCAAACATCTGAAGGAGATAACTACCATCTGTGGGTAAGGAATGATGAAAACAATAATCCACACAATCAAGGAAGATCAGGTTGAGAAGTTTGGACAAAGAAGAAGAAGAAGAAGAAGAAGAAGAAGAAGAAGAAGAAGAAGAAGAAGAAGAAGAAGAAGTAGTAGTAGTAGTAGTAGTAGTAGTAGTTTGGACAACAAAGCTCAAAAAATCAAAGAATGATAAAATAGTCTGGTGGGATACATTGTTATGAAAATGAATAGATGTGAAATCAATGCCAACCACAAGGCTAACCAAATTTCAAATTTGGGGTTCGGTGTTCAACTTTTGATAGGATTTTTATTATAACCCTTTAATCCAAGTGCATCCATTAAACTTGAAAGTCTTTAAAGCTGTGCATGTGATTTTATGTAGCAGGAGCTCTTCATTAATTATAAACGCCTTGGAAAGCTGGTCACAGGAGATGGATGGAAACTAATCAAGGAGAGAACCACCTAGAACTAAGGAGACATTTCCTGACAGTTAGAACAATTAGTTTTCCAGAAGTTGTGGGTGTTCCAACACTGGAGGTTTTAAGAAGAGATCAAACAACCATTTGTTTGAAATGGTATAGGGTTTCTTGCTTAAGCCAGGGGTTGCTTAAGCAGGACTAGAAGACCTTCAAGATCCCTTCCAACTCTGCATTCCGTTCAATTCATCCACAGATGAGCAGTTGAAGGACCAGAAGGTCCATGAAGAACTGAACAAAAGCATCTTATCAAAAGCCTGAAAGAGCCACAATAGCTTCAGCAATTGGCAAGGAGCTTTCTGTCCCATTCGGCTCATTTGGCCAGGCCGAAGATATCAGTACGTTCGTTCCTTTTTTTTTTTCCCTCCACATTTTCCTTGATTCTTCTCCTTCTATTTAAAGCAGCAATTCACTGGAAAGGGAGGAGGCCAGCTCCATGCATTTCACTGCTGAATCACCAACCCACTAAGGTGGGAGTTTGTCTGCAAAAAAGAAACAGAGACAAAGTAAAGGAAGCGTCTCCAGCCTTCCTCAACCTGATAGGCTTCAGATATTGTGACTTCTGATTTCCGTCACCTCCAATCAACATGGGGATGTTATTCCAACACATTAAAAGAGCACAAGTTGATCTGGGTTTTTCATCTCATGGAATCCTGCTGATGAAAATAAACTAAAAGAAGAACTGGTCTGTGTATCCATGTTCTACTTCTTTCCCCAATTATTCAGTGATGGAGAATCATTGTTGAAGCAATGGAGGTCAAATACTGGTTCATAAGGGAAGGTGTGAGTAATAATTTGATTGACCCACCATCTACCCTTGATTAGACTAGGGCTGTGGTAAACATAGTGTCAAACCCCAGATAGCTGTGTAAGCTGAAAATTATTTATCCAGCCTCAATCTTGTCTTTCACAAAATTTATTAAAGCAAAAGCAGTAATGATATTCAAGCAAGCGAATTAGTTTAAATTTGTAAATATATCTGTAAATGTCTATGGAGATTTTCAGTCATCCAGATCATGGTTGTCCCAAAGGTGCTTTTTTTTTTGCAAAAGGCAACCAAATTTTGTTGTTCCTGAAGATGTTTTGCTTCTCATCCAAGAAGCTTTTTCAGTTCAACTGAACTTATGAAGCTTCTTGGATGAGAAGGTAAAACTTCTTCAAGGAAAAACAAAGAAAGCCCAGTTGCCCTTTGAATAAAAGCATATTTGGGATATCTGTTTGTATTTAAGAAACTTTCTGACTGTTGTTCTCTCCACCTTATTGAAGAAGTGTCTTCTCTAATAAAGTGGTTTGGGGATTGGGTACATTAAATGTTCATTATATTTTTACTATTTTAGGGCTTACAAGGTAGGTTTTGTGATTTCCTAGCTCGAACTAGAAGTTTTGTGTTTTGTGTTACTGATTTTCAATAATTGTTCCCCTAAAGTTTCATTGTTAGGATACAGAGAGGCTTTGAAAAGCCAAAAGGAAAGTTAGATTACCTTGGAATCCCACTGGGGTGGGGGTGGGGAGATGAAACAACCTCATTTAATGATTGTGGTGTGACAAAATACTTCATCTTGCAATTGAATTAATCCATTTTGCATGCACAGAAACAAATCCATCAAAATAGGCTGACTTTACAGAATATTGAATGTGCCCCTGCCAATTAAACAAAACTTAGCATGTCGATTAAACATTTTGTGTGAACATAACCATGATTCCCACAGCAGCTTCTCTGGCGTATTCCCCCATTCAATTTACCTTCATGGTGTGGTGGATCCACCCATGGAAAGCATTCACCTTGGTGTAGACTCCAGGCTTATTGGCCAGGGCACAGCCTGTACCCCAGCTTACAATGCCGCACAGCCGCCAACGTAACACTTGTGAAATGCTGTCTTCACACATAAAAGGGCCACCGCTGTCCCCCTGTCATGAGGAAGAAACCTAGGTTAAAAGGAAAACCTGCAATTTATGTTATCATCCTTACTTCCTGTTCTGACCCAGCCAAATTCCCCGAGAGCAAAAACAAAGCTAAACTCAAAAACTGAAACGTTCACGGCTTTATTCTACAAACAGCTCTTTGTAGTTACCAGATGGCTTGCAGCCAAGTAATCCAAGTGGCAAAACCTTCAAAGAAATCAAAGTCTGTTATCATGACCCTTTGAATGCTTTTTGCCTTCTGCAAAGACAAAAATTGCTTGCAACCAGGCTTATATTCCCTAGAGGGAGGGGCCATTACATTTGCCTCCTTACTTCTGAGTCATCTATGCAGCTTCAGCTGTTCCCTCCTAGGAAGCATCCTGCGCTCACATGCACTGAGCACAGGCTCCTCGGGAACCTCCTCATCACTGCTGCCAGCCCCCACCATCTCTGAAGGCAGCAGTCCATTCCCTGATGGTCCCGGCCCCTCCTCCAAGTCCTTGCCTTCCTCCACCATCTGCACCTGCTGCTGGCTAACCACAACACTTCCCTATTCACTGCGCTGCTATTCCAGAATTCAAAGCCCACAAGGGCTTGCTGTCTGGGGATAATGGGAGTTTTTAATTCAGCACACCTGAATGACATCAAGGAAAGCTATTACGGTGGACAGAAACAGGCTTCTAGATGCTCACTAAGAAAGGATTTTTCGAAATGACCATCAGAGCATTAGTATTTCGTTTATTATTATTAACAGGCTCTGATGCTAAGGAGTTCTACTTCCCTTCCCCACCTGAAAAAAAATCTGTTCCAAACGTAAAACACAAGCAGGGAAGAGGAGTTTCAGTTTCAGTTTCATAGCAGCAACCAACTTTAGTACAGAACAGTTGAGCTAAGCCACACCCAGGCTCCTTGCTGTCTCCTTGCTCACACAGCAAATACTGTTTCAGTTTCCAAACAGTCCTCAACTCTTACACACACTGACACTAGTCGGATGAATACCAATGGATGCTGGTAGGAAAAGGCGCAATTTTTCCCCCTTATTTTCCTCCCACAAAACTAAGCCCGGCCACAGGTAGCTCTGTAGCGAAGCATGGGTATTGAGCTAGTTGCTTTATATTTAAGAAGAAAAAGCTACATCCAGCTAAATAGTCCTATGATGAATCTAATGTCTACCTTTGCATTCTCCATCTTGAAGTCTTTCAGATATATTTGGCTATATTTCCAATTGATACTGCCAATGTCTAGTGGGCACCAAGCTGAAGACGCTAACTTCTAGAGCAGTGTTCCTTAACCATGACAATTTTAAAATGGGAGGACTTTCATTCCCAGAATTCCCCAGCCAGCATGTCAAACTGACCCTACCTGGCAAGCATCTATACCTCCGCCTGGAAAACCAGCGCAAAACATCCTGGGCTTTATCTGACTGCTGTAATAATCAGGGCCATTGCAGATACTGGTGCTGATGATGGGTACACTGGCCTCTTGAAGATCTTCAGACTGGTGGCCTACAAAGAAGGAGGAATCAGAAGCTGCCTTTGTACAAGAGAGCCGGGCACTTCCCTCAGCTCAATACCGTCTTGCAGTGGTTGGCAAGTTCTCCCTCGATGCCATGCTTCCCCCAGGCCCCAACGTAAACATGGGTTCTTCGGCTACTTATCACCTTCTCCAGGAACTGTCTGAATACAACTCAGCAAGATGAGGCTCTTTATTGCAGAAAAGAATAAAGTCAGAGGTGGTATTCAGCCAGTTCTGACCGGTTCTGGAGAACTGGTAGCGGAAATTTTGAGTAGTTCGGAGAACCGGCAAATACCACCTTTGACTGGTCCCGCCCCCATCTATTCTCCGCCTCCCAAGTCCCAGCTGATTGGCTGGGTCTCCTTTAGTTGCCCTGCACAGGAGAATGGAGCTGGAAAGAAGGATAGTAGGGTGGGGAGGGAATGGGGATTATTGCAGTAAGCTTCCCCCAGGAGTGGGGAGGGAATGGAGATTTTACGGTATCCTTCCCCTGCCACACCCATCAAGACACGCCCACTGAAAATTGAATCCCACCACTGAATAAAGCCATATATAGACAGAAAAGACAGATCACTGCAGTACATAGAAATCGAACCCTTACATAGATCTACAGTTCTGGGTGTAAATTTTAGTCTTTTTTCCTTCGTTCAGGATCAGTAGATTGTTGCTCATTGCCTTAATAGCCTTGGGAAGGGCCTAATCTATAGCGCATAGTTGTTCTTTTTATTGTGGGAATGTGCTGGCATCTGCCTTACTCAGCTTACTGGGAACAGCTCAGGGATTGGGAGTCCTTTGCCCTGCCTGAATTATGAATTATGATGACAAGGGATGCCGACAATTTATGCAGTTCATCAACATCATTCTAGAGAGTCAGAGGTTCTCTAAGATAGGATTCTCGGATCGTTTAAACTTTGGACTTTGGATCCGAGATGTTCTATTAGCAACCCAAAATCTTTTCAAACTTTTTTTTTTTAATTAGATCTTACCAGGGGTGGGCTGCTGGGGGTTCGGAGGGATTCAGGAGAGCCCCTAGCTAAGGTTCTGCACAATTCAGAGAACCCCCAAATCCCACCCCTGGCTGGGCCCCGCCCACCCTGCCACTCCCCTCCCAGGAGTCCCCACATGGCCCATTTTGTATGCAGGTAAGTGCAAGGCCTGCGTGGAGGCTCAGGGTGGGTGAGAAACGGGCCTCCCAGAAGTTCAGGGAGACCCGAAATGGGCCCGTTTCCTACTTCCAGAGAACCTCCGGAGCCTGGGGAGGCCGTTTTCGCCCTCCTGGAGGCTCAAGGAAAGCCTCTGGAGCCAGGGAGGGCAAAAGCGTCCCCCCACCTTGGTGCAGGAGGCTGACTAGGCCACGCCCACCATGGCCACACCCACCCAGCAACCGGGCAGAGAACCCTTTGCTAACGTTTTTGAAGCCCGCCCTTGGATCTTCCTGGAGCAAGGAAGAGGGACCTCTGGACTGAAAGCCAAACATTTGGAGAACAGAGTTATATGTCTTCATCTCCACAGAGAACCAGCACCCGTAACCCCTCAGCTTTGGTGAAGCCCCAATTAAAGTACGGATCTTCGGTCTTGCTTTTTCCTGAGCTACTTTGGCTGCAGCTTCAGAACAGAGACCGGCCCATTTCTCTTCCAATCCATTGAGGCCAATTTATGTGAGTTTAAAGGTGCCCCACTGTTATTAAACCAAGCCTCTGCCAAATCCAGTACCCTCAAAGAGAAGCAAGGCACAAAAACTGGTATCCCATTGTGTGTTTTCCATACAGAGGCATCAATGCTTAAGTGTCAGCAGGAATGTAATGATCTATTATAAAGGAACAGACATATAAATTCTGCAGTGGTAGGGAGAACAGTAAAAGGAAACATTTATCTGCTAGCTTAATGATAGTTGTTGTGAGGCTTACAATCATGAGAGAGATATAGGTATATGCAGGGGCAATTAAGGTCAGCCTCTTGGCTTCTTACAAATAATCCCCTTATTTTGTGTGTCTTTTTCTTCCCTTTGGCCAGGCCTTCCTTCCTTCCTCCCTTCCTCCCTCCCTCCCTCCCTCCCTTCCTTCTTCCTCCCTTCCTCCCTCCCTTCTTCCTCCCTTCCTCCCTCCCTTCTTCCTTCCTTCCTCCCTCCCTCCCTTCTTCCTTCCTTCCTTCCTCCCTTCCTCAAAAAGCAGAACTTTTCAATTGAGTGAGAACTCCAACCGTACAAACGCTACTGTCATCTCGTAGCAGCAAGAGGACCTTACCATAATATTGTGTGTTGCCCCATCCTGTCACCGTACAGATCTTGCCATCCACCAAAGTTTGCCCCAATGCTGGGAGGCAGATGGGCTGAATAAATTCTGGAAGTAGAAAAAAGAACCTTAAAAAAACATTGCTATTATCTTGGGTAAGAGAGTCTTTCTTTCCCTGGCTCACGACCATGAGTGGCAAGTTGCTTTCTGTGACTTTTCCGTGCCGAAAATTTCTCCTGGTGTTTTTTATTTTTTTAACCAGTTGGGAGAGAGAATTTATGAATCAAAGGAAAAGTGACTTTCAATGGAATTTTCACTAGAGGGCGCTGGCCTTCCACAACTGTAGGGAGAAGAATCTAAGGGGATTTTAAAGGATGTTTTTTAAATCCCGCCTTTATTACTTTATAAACAAGGCGGCAAACATACCTAATACTACTTCCTCCTCTTTTCTTTCATACCAGTGTGAAGATGTTGTACACAAATAAAGGATGGGTGGACTTTCCATTATGATATCTTGAGCCACCCAACTCCTGCCCAGCAATATTCTCACTGTCAGCCTTCCAAGTAATGCATCTTCCAAAAGCAGAAGGCAGGTAGATTCCTCAAAGAACAGGTAGATCCGGAGCAGGTAGATTCCTCAAAGAACATGTTTATTGGATACATCATATCAGGACAGCTAGTGAAAACCAACTCTGAAAGTTTTCCTGGGTTTATGACATAATTACAAGAGCAATTGTCCCATCTCTCCCCAAGTATCACAGGCCACATTGTCCAGTAAAGGTGAAAGGACATATTGACACAAATCAATCTAACCTTTGCTCTTGGCTTCTGTTAAAGAAGTTGCTTGTACTGTTTTGCTAAGGTTGGGAATCATTTGTTAGGAATTCATTCTGTGAAAGAACTGTATCCTTTTCTATCTGGTTTCTCGCTTCTGCCATTTGCTTCAGAGCTAAGCACATCCTTGGAGACAGTTCTCAGGAATGTCCTGCTCCATAGATAAGTGGGTGGAGCTGCCTAGGAGCATGAACACACAAGGACAAGGGATACCCTGTAAGATAGCAGAGCATGGACAGAGCATGGACAAAGAATGCTCCACGGATTAGTGGGGGGAGGGCGTGGGCAAGACATTGCCCACATTGAAGAACAAACTTTTGTCTCTGATTGGCTAAACAAGTGTATAAGATCCTAGACAAACTTTACCTAGGTGTGGCTATTCCTTACATGCATTTTGTCTGTATTTTTTGGATATAGTTTTGTCACCTTTACTCTGGCCATTAAAAAAAGCTGTTTCTTTTTGCAAGCCTCGTCTCGAGTCTCACTCTCTTTGGCATCTCAGTGGCTCGGGGAAACTTCTAGGACCTTACAAAGGCATTTGATCAAGGGTTCCTTGGTTACTCCTCTCCTCCTCCAACTGTCATGTGTTGACTTTGGTTCCCACAAGATGACCTTGGTTCCCACAAGAAAGCTTTTTGTTTTGACTGCTAGCCAGTCTATCTACTTCCTCCTCTCCACACACACACCCCAAAGTTCGTGGCAACTATGAGGCAGCAAAAGATGGCTTCAGACAGGTTCGTTTCAGAGTTGACACTCACCATTGAAGGAGAGTGGTGTGGCCAAGCGCAACAAGGCAATGTCATTGCTGTTCTCTTCACTATTGGGATCCACAAAGGGCATGTACCCACCATGGTAGACAATGCCGGCTATGTCCATCTGCAGCCCCCTTATGGATAGCTGAGATACGGCACCCATGAAGACCTGCCAGCGGTACAAGACACGATTCCTCCTGCAAGGCAGACCCAAAAGGAGAAGGTTGGACAGCAGGTGGGATCGGTGGGACTTTGGATTTATCACCTTTGGACTTTTGATCAAGTTAATTAAGGATCTAGCAGCTGCATTCACATCACAAGCTAAACTTGATTCATTGGAACCTTGGTTAGGGTTGTTCCAAAAGTACTTTTTCAGTAGGTAACTGGACTTTCTTGTTTTTTCTTTTGAAGACATTTAACTTCTTATCCAAGAAGCTTCTTCAGCTCTGATAGGATAGTGGGGAATGGTTCACAGCCAAATAAGCTTCTTGGATGAGAAGCAAAACATCTTCAAAAGAAAAAACAAAGTCCAGTTGCCTCCTGAAAAAGCACCTTTGGGACAACCATGACCTGGAGGACTGAGAATCTCTACAGACTTGGTCAAGGTTGATATTTTTTGATATGGCTTGTTAAATCCAGAAAATGACTTTAATGACCAAGCGCTCATCAACAGTTGACATACTTCTCTAGTGAGCACTCTGGTTAAGAACAATCAATATTACAAATGTGGATGTTACACATATCTAGTCCGGGACTTACTCTGGAAAGCAGTGAGCTGCTGTAACTATCCATTCATTTGAGATGATGGAGCCGCCACAGAGATGTGTCCCATCGTAACGTAGGCTGACTTGCCAGGGCCATTTACCCACACTGGCGTCTTGGCCACCTACAATCCGGTCCACGGATAACTTCCTGCGTCCACAGTCTGCAAAGCATACAATAGTTTAATACCTGTTCTGATGCAACTTTGCATCCCACATAACTTCATGGTTAAGTTTACAATTTTTATTAGCTTATAATATAAAATACAAAAGCAAATACTAGGAAAGAAAAGGGAGGGAAAGGGGAAGAGAGAAGTATAGAAAAGAAGAGAAAAAAAGAAAAAAAAGGCATTAACTTCCAACTCCCTCTGATATAGTAAGAATAAGACAGTAATATCAAATCTCAACTTTTTACTTTTCCATAATAATATAAAGTAGCCACTTCCGTAATGACAATCTATCCAATCAGTAAAACCCAAAATCAAAGGTTCATTTTTTTTCTATCCCAAGCATAAAGTCCAGAAGTGGTTTCCAAGTAAAAACAGAAATACTTATGTTGTTTTCTTTGATCAAAACAGTCGATTTAGCCATCTCAGCTAATTCTATCAACTTTTGTGCATCCCACATAACTTCATGAATGAAATCTTATTCATGAAGAACAAGGATATCACAATAACCGAGCTGAGTGCTTGTGATGAAACCAACGAGCATCGGAGGAGAATTTAGATTTGAGCAAATCAGAAGACAGGAAAACTGGACGTAGCATGTGAATAAGAGAAAGACCTGAGAAAGATTTGGAGAAAGGTTAAGGTGAGAAAGAAAGATCTGAATTGGAAGAGGATAGAGAAAGATGACTGAAGATACCCTTGAAATAGTTTGTGAGTTTCATACCTTGGCAAAGAGTTGCTAGGATCCGGCCTGTCAGACATTCACTGTGAGAAAGAGAAGAAAACTCAAGTATACAGAAGGTGAAGTAAAGAGGCATTATCAAGAAAAGTGTGAACTCCCAATTTTTGCAGCTTGAACTTTCGGTGGCATACAGAATAGCTCTAGTTTCTATTTCCCTGAATGATGACGGCACTGATTACATTCAGCTCTCAGGGATCTTTCATTATAGGCTTCACCAATTGGTCTCATGTGCAAAGATGAGACAATTTAGGAAAAGTAGCTAATGTACATCATGTTACTTCTAAGCAAATCCTGGACCTCTTTTCCCTCCTTATCTTTCCATTATTTTTTATTTTTCATTATATGTTTGTATTTCATGAGCCACGGTGGTGCAGTGGTTAGAGTGCAGTACTGCAGGCTACTTGTGCTGACTGCCAGCTGTCTGTAATTTGGCAGTTCAAATCTTACCGGGCTCAAGATTGATTCAGCCTTCCATCCTTCCAAGGTGGGTAAAATGAGGACCCAGATTGTTGGGGGCGATAGGTTGACTCTGTCAACTGCTTAGAGAGGGCTGTAAAGCACTGTGAAATGGTATATAAGCCTAAGTGCTATTGCTATTCCTTCCTTCCCTCCTTCCTTCCTTCCTTCCTTCCTTCCTCCTTCCTTCTTCCCTTCTTCCTTCCTTCCCTCCTTCCTTCCTTCCTCCTTCATTCTTTCTCATCCATCCATCCATCCATCCATCCATCCATAGCAGCCCAAGGTTGACTCAGCCTTCCAGCCTTCCAAGGTGGGTAAAATGAGGACCCAGATTGTTGGGGGCAATAGGCTGACCACTAAGAGCGGGCTGTAAAGCACTGTGAAATGATATATAAGTCTAAGTGCTAGTGCTATATTTATATTTTGATAAATCAGTACAATTTGTTACCTGGCAGGAGTTGCTATATTCAGACTGCTGACTTCCCATCATTCTTACCCATTGGCCAGGATGGCTGGAAATAATAGATGTTACCAATAGATGCTACCATTCAAGGCTGGGAAGGCCTGTGGATTTAAGCGAAGGAAAAGTGGGAAGAAGGAAATGGTCCTTACCAGACAACAATGGCCTCTCTCAGCTTTTGCGCAAAAGGCAGGCGGGACTCATCCACGCAGAAGTAGCCTGACGTTCCATTGGCACCTGCACTGCCTGCATTCAAGACCGAATGGGAGAGAGATCTGGAACAGAGACAAATCCAGAGGTGGGATTCAGCAGGTGCTGACCAGTTCTGGAGAACTGGTAGCGGAAATTTTGAGTAGTTCAGAGAACCGGCAAGTATGGCCTCTGACTGGCCCCGCCCCCATCTATTCTCCGCCTCCCATTGAGACTCAGCTGATAGGCTGGGTCTTCTTTGGGTGCCCTGCACAGGAGAACAGAGCTGGAAAGCAGGTCAGTGGGGTGGGGAGGGAATGGGGATATTACAGTATTTTTCCCCTGCCATGCCCACCAAGCCACACCACACCTACCAAGCCACGCCCACAGAACTGATTGTAAAAAAAAATTGAATCCCGCCACTGCTATAGACCTTGTCATCACAGCCACGTTTTGGATGTACCTGACAAATCCCATCTCCTCACAACTAAGAGCTGCCACCTGGGCATCAGAGGAAGAAGAACACAGTAGCCTCCACTTCCCTTCAGTCTCATCATACACAGTTAGGCGCAAATCCTCGGAATTCACCTGAACTGAACAGAACAAAGGTAGTGATAAGACAGGACTATCCCAGCTCCTTTGTGCCCCCCCCCTCCCCAGGTACACTGGCTGATCCAGCAGTGGGATCCTATCTGTTCCACTACTGGTTTGGTGATCACACATGTGCGCACCTAACGTGCACGCAGCTTTCCACACATCAGCTGAGGCCTGCAGGACCAATCAGCTGAGAGGAGAAAGAAGAGAAAAAGCACAGGGGTGGGTAGGAGGGCCGATCCTGCACTTTTCTCTTCTTTCTCCTCAGGTGTTTTTTTTTTTTTAACTACCAGTTCAGGTGAACCGGTACGAACCGGTAGCATACCACCACTGGGCTGATCTCATCTGTTGCTGAGCTACAGCTGCTTTTTAATCAGACTGGCTGGGAATTGGAGAAGCTGTAGTCCCAAAGTTCCTGAAGACATCAGGATGGAAAAGGTGAGGCCATGTCACAAACGGCGGAAGAGTTCCACAGCCCTTTGTCGCACACTCACCCGCATATAAGCTTTCCTTTTCACTCCCAAGCACAGACACCACTGCAGTGGGAGATAAGAAGGCTGATTAGAACATCGCTCAGCAGGAAGACAATGACAACAGAAGCAAAATCCATGTTCTACAGAAGTTAATGCTTGCTCTTCACAGCAGGGAAACCTTTGGAAATAGGGTGGGTGGACTGAGAGAGAGTGGCTGACTCAAAGTCACCCGGCTGGCTTTCATGCCTAAGGAGGGATTAGAACTCACAGTCTCCTAGTTGTTGAGCCAAAGTCACCCAGCCAGCTTTTATGCCTAAGGCAGGACTAGAACTCAATGTCTCCTGGTGATTGGCCCAAAGTCACCCAGCTGGCTTTCATGCCTAAGGCTAGAACTCACAGTCTCCTAGTGATTGATCCAAAGTCACCCAACCAGCTTTCATGCCTAAGGCAGAACTAGAACTCTCAATCTCCTAGTGATTGACCCAAAGTCATCCAGCCAACCTTTGTGCCTACGGTAGGATTTGAACTCACAGTCTCCTAGTGACTGAGGCAAAGTCATCCAGCCAGCTTTCATGCCTAAGGTAGGACTAGAACTCACAATATGCTAGTGGTTGGTCCAAAGTCATCCAGTCAGCTTTCATGCTTAACTATCATTGTATGCAAGTGTTTTTCATTTGCATGCATATCCTCATTCCTGCCAACCTGCAGCTGAAAATCACTGGTTTTATTTTACATCACAACCGACCCCAATTTCTTGACTGGGACCCATCCAGAATTGGGTCTCAGATGGTGGGGAGGATATATAAGTGTTTTAAATAAGGAAACAAACCTCTCTCTGACCCACAAGGGATCTTACCTATTGCCCAAATCCCAACTCCGACTCCAGCCAAAAGCAGGAAGGTGCCGGCTCCCACTGCCATGACTTTAGGCAGAGTCCAACTGCATGTTTTAAGTTCTCCTGAAAGGTAGAAAGATCATCAGACAGCAAAGGTCAGAGCTGTCCCCATCAGGAAGAAGCAGGTGTGGAAAAACACCTCCCCAGATACCATTAATAACAGAGAGAGGGTTTCCTTCAAGTTAGGAAGAGAAAATGGAGAAACATGGCAATATTTCAGAATGACTTGGACTTGCCATTGTACATAACAGCAGCCTAGGATGTTTGTCACCAGAGGTGGTATTCAGCCAGTTCTGACAGGTTCTGGAGAACCGGTAGCGGAAATTTTGAGTAGTTCGGAGAACTAGTAAATACCACCACTGACTGGCCCTGCCACCATCTATTCTCTGCCTCCCGAGTCCCAGCTGATCGGCTGGGTCTTCTTTGGTTGCCCTGCATAGGAGAATGGAGCTGGAAAGCAGGCTAGTGGGATGGGGAGGGAATGAGATTTTGTAGTAACCTTCCCCTGGAGTGGGGTGGAAATGAAAATGTTACGGTATCCTTCCCCTGCCATGCCCACCAAGCCACACCTGCCAAGCCAAGCCAAGCCCGCCAAGCCATACCACACCCACCAAGCCACACCCACAGAACCGGTAGTAAAAAAATTGAATACCACCACTGTTTGTCAACATCCTAATACAAAGGCCATGAGGATGGATATATTGCAGTACCTTGATACTCATCGTTAATTGGTTCCAGCAGACACAATGAGTACCAGAACGATGAATACCTAACACATTTTTCTCATAAGGAATAATGTACTGAATCACAAGGCAGCTGACACTGACATGCTGACTACCAAACAAACAACGAGTAAGGGACAACGTTTTCTCATCGAAATGCGTTGAGTACCAAATTCGATGAGTTTCAAAGCAGTTGAGTACCAAGGTATCACTGCAGGGGTGGGATTCTACCAGTTTGCACCTATTCGCTAGAACCGGTTATTAACATTCTAAGCAGTTCAGAGAACTGGTTGTTAGAAGAAATTACTGGCCTAATCCTGTAAGGAAGGCAGGAAGGAAACATTCTGGTGTTGCTTACAGAAACTGCCTCTCCGTTAACCCTTATTACATTCTTGGCAGGACTAGACTTCCTGTCTCAGGAACTTCTCTGGAGTTTTCTTTCCCTCTTTTGCTGGTACTTTGCTTATGTGGAGTGACCATTCAAAGTTAAAATGGCACTGAAAAAAGTGACTTATGACTGTTTTTCACACTTTTGACTGTTGCAGCGTCCCCACAGTCATGAGAGGCCAGATGAGGAGATACATGCCTCGATGTGAGTGATATTGAGTTGGCCACACCCAGCCAATAACATGACCACCAAGCCATGTCCACCCAGTCACATGACCACCAAGCCACGCCCACCAACTAAGCCATGCCCACAGAACTGGTTGTTCCAAAATTTGAATCCCACCCCTGTACCACTATATATACCAAAGCAAACAAGCCGTAAGACAGGTGGATTTGTACATGTGAACCAGGTCTATGCTATACTATCACAATATTTAGTTTTCTGGATGGTCTTCAGAAACTCCACTTTTGAACCTAAAACTAAACCGAGAGGAAAGAAACCCTTATTATTATGATTAGATAAAAGAGAAGGTGCCAGAGGTCTCCCTTGGGAGCAAATAGCTTTGCACTTCTCCTAAATGCCTGAAGATGTTCGCCTTAAAGTCCTGCTCGAACATGAAAGAGCGATGGGAAGGTTGAGGATTCAGAGGAGGAAAGAAAGTCGTTGGGTTTTTCCTTCCCTTCTCTTTTTCTAGGGTTCAACTCACCATCTTTTTCAGCCATCTCAAAAAGAATTAACCATCAAAGCTGCTGTTTGGAAGTCCAGTTCTTCAGGCCCAGGAGCCTTTGGGTCCAGTCCCCAAGTCCTAAAACCAGAAAGGAAGAATGATACCCATCTCTTTTTCTACAGTAGAGCCAGGGGTGGCCTTCAAACATTTTAGCAATGGGTTCTCTGCCCGGCTGCTGGATCAGCATCGCAATGGTGGGCATGGCCTAGTCCAGAGGTCTCCAACCTTGGCAACTTTAAGACTTGTGGACTTCAACTCCCAGAATTCCTCCTCCAGTCATGTTAGTCAGGAATTCTGGGAGTTGAAGTCCACAAGTCTAAAAGTTGTCAAGGTTGGAGACCCCTAGCCTAGTCAGCCTCCTGCACCACGGTGGGGGGGAACATTTTTGCCCTCTCCAGGCTCCGGAGGCTCTCTGAAAGCCAGAAACAGGCCCATTTCCGGCCTTCCTGAACTTCTGGGAGGCCCGTTTTTCACCCTCCCTCAGCACACACGCCCTGCACGTACCTGCATCCAAAACAGGCCACATGGTGACTCCTGAGAGGGGAGGGGAGGGCCAGCCAGGAGTGGGATTTGAGGGGGTTTCTGAACTGCCTAGAATCTTAGCTAGGGGTTCTCCCGAACCACTGCAAACCCCTGGCAGCCCCACCCCTGAATCAAGCTACAAGTCTCTTTTTCTTCAGCTAGAGTTGACCCGTATTCCTCTTAGAGCTTGCAAAATTCTACCTGGAATTTCCTACTAGCATTGAAGCATCTATGGTTATTTAGCTTCCCCTATTTAGTTACGTCATTATTGCTCAGTCGCTAAGACATGTCTGACTCTTCATGACTCCATGGGACACAGCATGCTGGGTTCTCCTGTCCTCCACAGCCTCCCAGAGTTTGCCCAAATTCATGTTCATATTTAGTTATTTCATTGGGTGAATTTCTGAGGAAGAGAAACGTATAACTATTCCTCAAATCTGAAGTCTGGGCTGCTTTGAGATTCACTCACTCATTCACTCACAGATGATAGATAGAGAGAGAGAGAGAGAAAAAAAAAAGAGAGAGAGAGAGAGAGAATAGAATAGAATAGAATAGAATAGAATAGAATAGAATAGAATAGAATAGAATAGAATAGAATAGAATAGAATTCAATATTGGCCAAATGTGATTGGACACACAAGGAATTTGTCTTGGTGTAAATACTCTCAGTGCACATAGAAGAAAAGATACATTTGTCAAGAGTCAAGAATCATAGGGTACAACACTGAATGATAGTCATAGGGTACAATAAGCAATCAAATCATAGTAGGAAACAGTATAAATCATAAGGATACAAGTGACAACATTACAATCATACAATCACAAGTCAGAGGAGATGGGTGATAAGGAGTGTGAGAAGATTAACAATAATAGTAGTGCAGAATTTGTAAATAGTTGAACAGTGTTGAGGGAATTATTTGTTTAGCAGAGTGATGGCTTTTGGGAGAAAAAACTGTCCTTGTGTCTAGTTGTTCTGGTGTGCAGTGTTCATTCATTCATTCATTCATTCATTCATTCATTCCACAGAATAGTTTGGCCTTCCAGGTTTCCACTGAAGCCTAAACAACATCTGGCTGCTTCAGTGACTGTCAGAAGGCTGATCTGCTTGCGCAAGCATCAAAACCTTCTTCCATATCATTTTTGAAACATGTGCAGTCCTGATGCCTGGGTCTTGGACGCTAAAACTGACTTGCCTTGAGCATCCTAGATTAACCTAGCAAAACACATTATCGCTCTGTGGCTGAAGTAGCACCATTCAGGCACCAGAAGAAGCTGTCAGCAAGCCTGAAGGAATCTCCAGATTCGCAGACAAATTGACAGTGCTTAGTCTCATTCTCCCTCACACACGCACACACTATACATAACACCCCAAAGCAGCGGTTGAGGAAAGAACATGCTCAACTGTTAAGGGTGGGGGAGGACGGTGGAATTTGCCGGAAGATAGCTTGCCTCTCTGCAGCTCTGGATTAACCATTAAGCAAAATAAGCACAGACACCAAATAAAGGGGAAGGAGAGTTTATTTATTCTCTTTGCTACCAGGCCCTTAACTCTTCCACTGCCGTAATTGAGTTGAAACAAACTTTTTGATTAGTTGCACTTATCTGCGGGGTTTGACTTTAATCTGCATTGTTTAATGAGTGACTGAAGTTTCAAAGTGTGGTTTGCAAGCCTCAACAGATCCCATCTTTGCTTCCACGTCATGGCAATTTCATTTCTGTCAAGGGGAACCGTTGTTGAGTTGTGTTAGGGCTTCAATCCAATTATGGGACTTTATGAATACTCCATATTGAAGCATGGCTACAAATCCCACTCTCAGGATGCACGTTTTCTCCCAACGTGTACAGGTAGTCTTCAAGTTACAACCGTACCCGAGTCTGCAATTTCCGTCGTAAGTCGTGACAATTGTTAAGCAGGCCATCACATGGCCATGCCTGCCGTGGTGGCGCAGTGGTTAGAGGGCAGTACTGCAGGGTACTTCTGCTGACTGCCGGCTGCCGTTCAGCAATTCAATTCTCATTGTTTCAAGGTTGACTCAGCCTTCCATCCTTCCAAGATCAGTAAAATGAGGGCCCAGATTGTTGGGGGCAATAGGCTGACTCTATAAACTGCTTAAAAAGGGATGTAAAGCACTGTGAAGTGGTATATAAGTCTAAGTGCTAGTGCTAGTGCTCAATGGTGGGATTCAATTTTTTTTACTACCGGTTCTGTGGGTGTGGCTTGATGGGCGTGGCAGGGGAAGGTAACTGCAAGATCCCCATTCCCTCCCCAACCCACTAACCTGCTTTCCAGCTCCTTTCTCCTGTGCAAGGCAACCAAAGAAGACCCAGCCAATCAGCTGGGACTCAACGGGAGGTGGAGAATAGATGGGGGTGGAGCCAGTCAGAAGTGATGTTTGCTGGTTCTCCGAACTGCTCAAACTTTCCATTACTGGTTCTCCAGAACTGGTCAGAACCTGCTGAATACCACCTCTGCTAGTGCTGCTTAACAACCATCATGACTTATGACTGAAATTACAGACTTGTTGTAAGTTGTAAGTTGAGGATTACCTGTACCTTACTGGAAGAAAATGTGCATCATGCAAATGGGATTGGTAGTCATGCTGCAATATGGAATGTTTGTAAATAATTGTTTTGTGGCACTTAAGAAATGCAGCGACCATAAAGCAAATACCCCAATCATTAAATGAACACATTCTAAATATAAGACATTACCGGTATGTATTTATTTGGATCCCACCTTTATTTTATTTTAGAAATAACTCAAGGTGGTGAACGTATCCAACAAAGCTTCCTCCTCCTATTTTCGTCACAACAACCCTGTGAGGTGGGTTGGGCTGAGAGAGTGTAACTGACCCATGGTTATCCAGCTGGTCAAGGTGCGACTAGAACTCAACATAAATTCTTCCTCCATACAATTTAAGATGGCTCAATAAATAGTTAATTTATAAAAATTGTGTTATCGATCGCTTAGTTTGTCTAGTCATGCATTCCAATAGGGCAGAGTGTGGCTCTGCTAGCTTTTGATTAAAATAAGCAAATCAGGCTTCACAGTTTAGACAGCAAAGTTTGTGGTTGTTTATCATGTTGTGGATAATTCAATAAATCATAGCTCAACAACTTGGAGCTTCATCCGTGCGCAGATTCAGGAGGGAGCCTCTATTGCTACAGCATGTATCCTGTTGCACCTTATGTACCATTGTGAAAAACAAACTGCAGTATTGCCTCTGGCTCAATCCCACTCAGTTCCTCTTACCTGCTTTAACTTATTAAAGAAACATGCCAAAATTTGGGCACCTTTAGCTCAATCAAATAAGACACTTTTCAAACAGAGATGCCACATTTTAAAGGACACTTCAAATTGCTCAGCCAGCAACAGCTGGAAAAACTAATTTTCCTCTCTACACTTTTATCCTAAAATATGTTCGTGGTTCTGTTTCAGGCAACACTTGCATAAAATCCTAAGACTGCTGAGTTTGCATTGGAGTTAACGGTGCAGTTTGTGTTGATGACTTAGCATTTTGTGGGATCTCACCCAGAGTTGGTATCCAGCAGGTTCTGACCAGTTCTGGAGAACCAGTAGCAGAAATTTTGAGCAGTTCAGAGAACTGGAAAATCCCACCTGTGACTGGCTCCATCCCCATTTATTCTCTGCCTCTCAAATCCCAGCTGATCAGCTGGGTCTTCTTTGGTTGCCAAGTACAGGAGAACAGAACTGGAAAGCAGGTTAGTGGGCTGGGGAGGGAAATGGGGATTTTGCAGTATCCTTCCCCTGCCATGCCCAACAAGCTATGGCACGTCCACCAAGCCATGCCCACAGAACCAGTAGTAAAATTTTTTGAATCCTACCACTGATCCCATCCCTTTGGGTTTCTTTGTTCAGTGAATCTAGATTCCCCAAATCGAGCAACTGTTGTGAATCCACCCAGAATGCCAGGCACAGTCTAGTACTGTTTTACTGGGAAGAACATATCCAAAATGCAGACACATTATATGTGACAATCTCTTTCACAAAAGTATTCACAAGGAAAGAAGACATTAACCTTGGAAATGGAAAAATTCCACCCTCCACCACTACCTTAGCTATATTCGTAGAATACTCTGAGAGGAGTGTTTGCAGGGGTCAACGCATACACATTTGACGAAAAGGTGAAATTTAAAATACAATGAATCTTTTGTTGCTGTGGACTCAGATCATCTTTCTAAAAATGTTTGAGAATCCGCCTTGCCCTCGGGTATTTAAATTGCAAAATTATTGGGTTCAATGTCTGCAGAGTTTAAAGTACCACACAAATACACAAACCAATGGCACTAGTCCGATACGATATGGGGTCTCCTGTTTGAGCAGGGGTTGGACTAGAAGACCTCCAAGGTCCCTTCCAACTGAGCATTATTACGCTCAGAGAACCCAGCCACTGTTTAAGCAAGTTGCATGAACCAAGTTATCCTATTAAACCACCGCATGGCTTATTTGTTTGGATATGGCATGATAAATGAATGCAACATTTATATTTTGGTCACCTGGGTTTCAGATATAGGGTGCAATCAGAAGTGACCCAACCTCAGATAATCCTGCCAGGAACCATCTGCAGAATACGGGACACAGCAGAACCCATCCCTTCTGGAGTCAAATTTTGGCCATCACCAAGATAGGGCTACTAAATACATAGGGTCACTAGATGGTAGCAACCAGCTAGGGTTTTCTGTGGCTCTTTATGGCCACTTAGTGGCCCCATGAAGTATTACAACTCAGGGTGTCTGACTAAAGCAGGGGTTCCCAACCTGGGGTGCGAGACGATATTCCAGGGAGTGCGAGAAAAGTCCAGGTAAATAATAGGATATTGGCTATATGTTGGCATTTTTATTTATTATGCAATGGATTAACTTTGTTTTCATTTTAGAGTTAAGTATCATTATTTAGTGGCTGTCACATACATAGCTGAAAAGATTCAATCCTACCATATATTTTACATGTTCAGTAGTTCCTAAAGTCTAAATTTCAGGGGGTGTGAGGTTCGAGTGAAATTTCTTTAGGGGTGCGGGGTGAAAAAAAGGTTGGGAACCACTGGACTAAAGAATAGATAGGAATGGCTTATTATAGAATCCAAGGCAAAAGGTTTATTGAACTAATTAAACATGAATTAATTTAGAAAGAGCAATATTACATTTAATTATATATATTAAATATTACATACACTGGCAGAAGAATAATTTATTCCAGTGAGATTGCAGTGATATGGATAAATCGATGCCATGGAGTCTAACAGTTGCTTTATCTTCATGAAATAACTATGGATGCTAAGCAGGAGGTCAACTTTCTCTAAATTCTCCCCCTATTCAAACACCACAAAAAGAGACATTTTAACATTTAGATCAGGGTGTCAAACTCAAGGCCGTGGGTTGCTTAGATCTGGCCTGCAGAAACAGTGAGGGAGTGGCCCGCGGTGCCTCTGCCAGCGAAAATGGAGCTCGGGAGAGCTGCAGGTGGCTGTCCTGGCTACTTTATCCATGGTTCAATAATGCCAATTCGGGAAAAGGGTTAATTCAGAAACTTAATTCAGAAACTAAACAACTTTTCAAAGTGTTAGGAGCATCCTTGGTATGACTTTATTTCTGATCCTAAGGCAGGAGCGTAGAAAAAAGTCTTTGGCAACCTGCTCCCACAAATTAACTAATGAACTTTCTGGCTCTCTCTCTCTTTCTCTCTCTCACACACACACACACTAATTCAGAGAGAGAGAGAGGAGCCACTTTGGTTATCCCAGCAGGGCAACCAATTCTGCTCTCCAAAGAACCGGGAGAAGCGAGACTGGGCGACCTTGTACCCTCCTCACCTGCCTCTTCCACCGCCTCAACCTCCGCGGGGGACTCGCCTTCTTCCAGCCCAGGGAGGCGCGCTCTTCATCGCCGGGAAGGGAGGCGCTGCCGGCGGAGAGAGGCGCTTCTGCCCCGAGCCCACTGATCCTCCTGGGCAGACCGGCGACGAGGAGGAAGACCGGGAGATCGCAGCGGCCGCAACCGGGCAGGAACGGAGGAACGGAGAAGGGATCTCCGACGAAGGGGAGAAAGATAGAGGGCGGGGCTAGAGGAAGGTGGGCGGGGCTCCGTCTGTTTCCATATTCCGCCTCGAAAGGGAAGAAGAGTTGAGTGGAGGAAAGGCGACGTCGAGGTTGCGATTCCAAAGGGAGGCAGACAGACAGATAGAAGAAAGTTGGGCGGGGAGGGATAGAGAGAAGAAAAAAGAAACAGACAGACAGACAGAAGAAAAAGAGAGCGAGAGAAGAAATATAGAGAGGAAAGAAGAGAGAGAGAGAAGAAAGAGGAAAGAAGAGAGAGAGAGAGAGAGAAGAAAGAGGAAAGAAGAGAGAGGGAGAGAAGAAAGAGAGAGGAAAGAAGAGAGAGAGAAGAAAGAGAGGGAAGAAGAGAGAGAAGAGAGAGGAGAGAGGAAAGAAGAGAGAGAGAGGAAAGAAGAGAGAGAAAAGAAAGAGAGAAGAAAGAAGAGAGGGGGGGAAAGAGGGGGGAGAAGGAGAGGGAGGGAGAGAGAGATCCTGATTTTTCCTTGTCGGAGATGCGTTTTTGGTTTAAGGGTTCCTAAATTAGGGAGCCCGGGCGCATCTCAGCGGAGCAGCACCGAGCACCCCTTGTTGAGGATGCAAGCAAAGCCAAGGTCGGGTCTCCAAAGGCGTTGAGGCTTGACACCTTCCAGGTCCTTCGGTCTCCTGGCAGTGTGGGGAGAAGCCTGTCCGGTGGGCGAACCTTGGAGACCCAGGGAGTCCCGTTCTTTAGAGAGAGAGGGTGTCAGCGGGGCCGGGAAGGGTGGCTGTGGGATGCCAATGCTTTCGCGGTGGGGCCCCTTCCCCAGCCCAGCAGGCTCCTGCCGGGGATCTCCTCTTTCAAAGGCAGCCGCCCAGAAAGAGGGAAGGGCGCCTTTTTAGAAGGGCGTCGCTTGGCCAGGAAAGTGCCCGAGCAGCACCTTTCTTCCGCCACTTCTCCCCCACCCCCAGCCCCACTGCTTTCTGAAAGAGACCATTGTCCGGGCCACCTGAGGACGCACCTGGGAGTTAAAAAAAACTACACCAGTGAAAGAGGAGGAGCTGACCGCAGCGCAAGGTCCCCCCCTATACACAGACAGGCAGGCAGGCAGACAGACAGAAGAAAGAGGGGGAGAAAAAAAGAGACAGATAGACAAGAAAAAGAGAGAGAAGAAAGAGAGGGGGAGAGAAAAAAGAGACAGACAGATAGAAAAAAAAGAAAGAGAGGAAAGAGAGGAAAGGAGAAAGAGAGATGGGAAGAAAAGAAAGGGACAAATAGACAGACAGAAGAAAAAGAGAGAGGGGGGGAAAGAGAGAGAGAGGAAAGAAAAAGAGGGAGAGAGAGGAAAGAGAGAGGGAGGAAAGAGAGGAAAGAAAAAGAGGGAGAGATGGGAAGAAAAAAAGGGACAAATAGAAGAAAAAGAAAGAGAGAGAGGAAAGAGAGAGGAAAAAAAAAGAGGGAGAGATGGGAAGAAAAGAAAGGGACAAATAGACAGAAGAAAAAGAGAGAGAGAGGAAAGAGAGAGGAAAGAAAAAGAGAGAGAGGAAAGAGAGAGAGAGAGGAAAGAAAAAAGAAAGGGAGAAGAAAGAGGGGGAGGGGAAGAAAAAAAAAGAGAGAGAGACTTCCACTTATTTTTAAAGCCCCCTGAACAAGCTGCAGCCCCCTCCAAGCAGGTCATAATAAATTCAGGTTTCTCCCCAGCAGGCAAGGATCTGCTTTGAGTCTTCAGCTCCTGGAGACTTTAGGAATAAGCTCATGTACAGAAGTAGTTGGGTTGCCTTTCCCCAAGATAATGGGGTTTCTTGGAGGGGAGGGGGGGGCTTTCTGGTCTAGCCCGCCCTCCTGGGATCTCTTGGTGGTGTGCCGTGCTGCTTAGCTCTGCCAGGATCTTCCCCAAACAGCAGCAGAACTACTTGACCACAAAACCAAATTGGATCTGGTTAAATAATAAAAGAGCCATTCATTCTCATGCAGATTGGAATCTAATAAATACAATGATTAATTATTCAGCTGCAGTTTGTGTTGAACTAAAAAAAGCACGCAGCTTTTCTGGAAATGATGCAAAAGTAAGAGTCAGAGTTTGCTTAATTAAAAAAAAACTCTCTGGAAGTGAAGGGAAGGGAAGGAAAGGGAAGGAAGGAAAAAGGGAAAGAGAAGGGGAAGGAAAAGAAAGAAGGGAAGGGAAGAGAAGGGGAAGGAAAAAGAGGAAGGGGAAGGAAAAGAAAGGAAAGGAAAGAGGGAAAGGGGAAGGGAAGGGAAGAGGGAAGGAAAAGAAAGGAAAGAGGGGAAGGGGAAGGGAAGGGAAGAGGGAAAGGGAAAGGGAAAGGAAAGGGAAGGAAAGGGAAGGAAAGGGAAGGAAAGGGAAGGAAAGGAAAGGAAAATTAGCTTGGACAGGACTGCAAACTATCCAAACTGTATTTTTTGGGGCCTCAGGAAGTAGGCTGACTCTCTCAAGTTAAGCTGTTTTGTAAATGATGTCATGGCACCGTAGCCGTGCCAGTTCACTTTCCACCGTGCCCTAAGCTCCCCAACCCATAGTAAGTTAAACACTAACCTAGCTTTGTCCTGCTTAAACCTGTCATGGGAACACCATCGAATGGTCATCCACATCCAGAAAATTGGATTAACCGAGTGGAACACGGTTAAGGTACTCGGGGCGGGGGTGAGAACGTCGGGGGGCGGGGGGCGGGGGAAGCCCACCGATTTCTCTTGGGTCTGTGAGATTTTCCACACAGGAGAACCCAGAAGTGGGGGGATCTGGAAGAGGCAGGAGGCACCTAGCCAAAGTAAATAAACCATTTGTCACAGGGAAGCGGAAGGGTGTCCGTGGATCATTCACTCCTCGAAAAATAGGTGCAAGTTCAGGAAATGTGCTTCAGACGTAAAAGGGAAGAGACCTCTGAGGTCTGAATGCTCAGTTACTGATTACCTGGGCAACCAGCCTGGGTAGCTGTTGGAAGCTGACCTGGAGAGGGGGAGGGAATGGGGGAAAGCAAGCTCAAGCAGGGGTGGCCGAGAAAACAGCCGTTCTTAACCCCCTGAACTTGTCCCTTGCACAGAGTAAGGAAAACTGAGCCAAACGTAGAGTATCTCCCACCAGTTCTCAACCTACGCCCTGGAACAGGGTCTTCACCAGGGAAAATAGGCCAGGAAATTGCTGGGTTTTGAGGGTTTGGGGTCCAGTTAGCACTAGTTATTGGTTATTAATTGGGATGTTCTTTTCTATGCAAAGAAACAGAGAACTAGGGCAAAATAAAGCCTATTTTCTGGATTCAGAAAATTTCAGTTCCCAAATTAAGAATCAGAACAGAGCCGGAAGGGACCTTGGAGGTCTTCTAGTCCAGCCCCCTGCTCAAGGAGGAGAACCTAAACAATCTCAGACAAGTGACTGTCCAGTCTCTTTTAAAAAGACTCCAGGGATGGAACACCCACAATTTCTGGTGGCAAGCTGTTCCACTGGTTAATTGTCCTCACTGTTAGGAAGTTTCTCCTTAATTCTAGGTTGTTTCTCTCCTCGATTAATTTCCCTTGTTTCTTGTCCTGCCTTCTGGTGCTTTGGAGAATAATTTGTCCTTCTCTTCTTTGGGGCAGCCCCTCAAATAATGGAACACTGCTCTCATGTCACCCCTAGTCCTTCTTTTCTCTAGACGAGCCAAGCCCAAATCCTGCAACCATTCTTCATATGTTTTAGTCTCCAGGCCTTTAATCGTCTTAGTTGCTCTTCTTTGCACCTTTTCCAAAGTCTCAACATCTTTTTTGTAACGTAGTGACCAAAACTCAATGCAATATTCCAGGTGTGATCTTACCAAGGCTTTATAAAATGATACTAATACTTCAAGTGATTTTGATGCCTCTGTTTATTCAGCCAAGGATTGTATTAGCTTTTCTGGCTGTTATCAGTTCACGGGGCAAAACCAATCATACCGTACTCCATGTTGGAGGCACGAACTGTTTTCGTGGTATTTGAACAGCATCCTTATTTTAATAATTTTGTATGCCATCCAGAGTCACCTGTGTGACGTGAGTATCTATATGAGTGTAATAAACAAATAATCCCCACTGTTTTCTTGACGTTTGGAAATTTCTTTTTAGCCGAGCCATTCTTCTGAGTCAGAAGGTTTAAAAATCCAGCATACTATTCATGGAATGAAACCAGAGTATTTGCAATCAGTTGAAAAGGCAAAGCTGAGTAGAACCTGGAATTGTACCTGTGGGGAAGGCAGCTGAGAAGAGGGGATGCAAGCCAAAAGCCGCGTAAACACGGCATCCATTCTCAAGGTAAGTAAGTGGTTGGGTAACATTAGGACACAGTGACTCAATGGCTAAGATGCTGAGCTTGTCGATCAGAAAGGACGGCAGTTCGGCGGTTCGAATCCCCAGCGCCGCGTAACGGGGTGAGCTCCCATTATTTGTCCAGCTTCTGCCAACCTAGCAGTTCGAAAGCAGGTTAAAAAATGCAAGTCAAGAAATAGGGACCCCTTTGGTGGGAAGATAACAGCGTTCTGTGCCCTTTCGGGTGTTTAGTCATGCCGGCCACGTGACCACAGAGACGTTTTCGGACAGCCAGCACTGGCTCTTTGGCTTTGTAACGGAGATGAGCACTGCCCCCTAGAGCCAGAAACGACTAGCACGTATGTGCGAGGGGAACCTTTAGATTTACTAACACTAGTGCACATCCGTAAAGTAACATGTGATTCACTGGGCCAAAGTAAAAAGAGGTTAATAATTGTTGAATCCTGGATGACGCGCCTATTGTCTTTTATATCTTACTAAATTGCTTCTTTTATTGGCTGTGACTGTAAGAAGCAGAGTTCACAAACCTCTGAAGGAATATGGATCCCCCCACCCTGGTTTTCCTATGATTGTGCCACACCAACTCTTCAGATGCACAGATCTCTTCTCCACCCTGGAGCATCCTGGTAGAAAATGCACCTCCTGGGGGCACAGCAGTGTGTAT